AGTGTTGGTGCAGTTGTTGTTGTATTTTTTCATATTTCATCAGTCATAAGAATGCATAAAATTTAACAAATTATTCATAACTGTTTTAAAAGATAGCATTTTAACTTAATCCTGTAGTTTAATCATGTACTTCCTAAAGTTCCTAAAGTATTGGAAGAGAAATGTGACTTCAAGACATATGCTGTTTTACTTTTTTTCAGTATTTACGAAGCATAAGTCTCCAGTATGTTAGTAGAACAAGGTAAAACTCAAAGCTAGACCTGGAACTCTCTATTTTTACTTACAAATAATGGGGTGTGACACGAACAGCCCAATGCCATGAAATCATTTATATGGATTTGCTTTACGTCAGTTTTAATATGTGTATATATATATATTTATATATATGTATATATATATATATATATATATATACATATATATATAAATATATATATATGCATATATATATATATATATATATATATATATATATATATATATATATATATATATATATATATACATATATATATAAATATATATATATATACATATATACATATATATATATATATATATATATATATATATATATATATATATATACATATATATATATATATATATATATATATATATATATATATATATATATACATATACATATATACATGTAAGAAAACAAAATTGCAGTAAAACGCTTCATGTGAAAAAAATATAATTTAACTAGCGTCCAGACAAGTTATCGTTCCCAAACGAATGATTATTATCATTGATATTGCCATTATAATCATCTTATTGCCATTAGCATATTATTATTATCATTATCAATACCTTTATTATGAAAACTAAAGAGGTAAGACCTCAGGCGGGCTGTGAGGGTGGGGGCTTGGAACGTCCGTTCTTTGTGACAGGACGATCGGTTACTACTACTGTCGAGGGAATTGGAGCAGCTGAGAGTTGAGGTGGCTGCTCTCTCGGAGGTGAGAAGACCTGGCTGCGGCACAATTAGTGTGGGTGGCTACACTTATTACTGGTCGGGCCTTAGCGATGGCCACCACCTGGAATCCAGGGAGTAGCCATAGCCATCTCCAGCAGACTTCAACCCTTGGTAGTAGAGGTCACTCCAATTGATGAGCGTATTATGGTATTGGGACTGAAGCTTTCATTTGGCTTCATGTCTCTTATTGCTGTGTACGCTCCTACGGATGTATATAAACTTTTTATGTACGCCAAACTTACATCTGTGACAGACAGCTGTCCTCGACGAGATATGTTCTGGGTGACTTCAATGCGGTATCTGGTTGGGATCGAGCTCGCTATGAGATGTCTGTCGGACCTCATGGCTCAGGAGCTGATGCTGGCAGCAACAATAGCCTTCTTTTCCGTGACTTTATTAGGTCCCAGAAATTGAGGATTTCTGGCTGCTGGTATCAGCGTTCTGATCCGCATCGTTGGACTTGGTACAGTGATATGGATAGTGTGGCTAAGGAGATCGACCACATCCTCGTTAGCACTCGATGGAGGATCCTCCAGAACTGCTGAGTATAACAGAGTTATGTGGAACTGATCATAGATTAGTTGTGGCTACTCTCCGGGTCCACTTTAGAACCCCCCGGTCGCTCCAATGAACACCTTAGGGTGCTTTACGTGGACAAACTGAGAGAAGATGAATGTTCCCGGGGATTTGAGAAAACTGAACTCCAAGCCCTCCTCACAGATGACTGCAGTCTCAGCAAGTGGCCAGATAATCTCAGATCCTGATGAAGTTGATCCACCAACAGGTAACTTGGATGCAGTTAATGTTGAGGTTCCTCTGCCAGACCCACCCATCAGCGAGGATCCACACTCCTTGACTGAAGTCGGGGTTGATTTCCAAGCTGAAGAGTGCTAAAGCAGCAGGTGTTTGCGGCATTCCAGCTGAACTGTCAAAGCCTGATGGAGAACCTATGGCAAGGGGCTTGCATGCTGTCCTGTCTACCATTTGGTACCATTCCCCCTGACCTGTGTGAGGGGTGTGGTCATCCCTCTCTGGAAGGGGAAAGAGGATTGGTGGGACTGCAGCAATCACCAAAGCATTACACTACTTAGTATACCAGGCAAGGTACTCGTGCACATCCTACTGAGATGTATCAGACTACCTGCTGAGGCACCAGAGGCCGGAGCAATCTGGATTCACTCCTGGTAAGTCCACAATAGACCTTATCCTGGCGCTTCGAGTCATTGTAGAGTGCTGTCATGAGTTCGGACATGGGCTGCTTGCAGTTTACATTTACCTCAAGAAGGCGCTTGATACCGTGCATCACGAATCACTGGGAGATCCTGAGACTAAGAGGAATGCCAACAAGGATTATTGGATTAATAGCAAACCTGTATATAGGCAGTGAAAGTGTTGTAGAGTGTGGTGGGGGCCTGTCGAGCTTCTTCCCTATTAATTCAGATCAGAGACAAGGCTGTGTTCTTGCACCAACACTTTTCAACACTTGCATGGACTGGATACTGGGTAGAGCTGCTGTCTAAAGTTACTGTGGAGCAACTGTGGGCATTATCAAGGTTATAGACCTTGACTTTGCTAATGATATTGCTATTCTATCCAAATCTCTAGAAACCCTAGTGGTGGCCCTTGATGCATTTAAGAATGAAGCGAAGCCCCTGGGGCTAAAGGTCTCGTGAAGCAACACCAAGATCCAGGATTTTGGGGGCCTACTAGGAGACCCTGTGCAGTCGGTGCGTGTTTGCGGTGAAAACATCGAGGCCACAGAGAGCTTTATATACCTCGGTAGTGCAGTCCATGACTCCGGGCTGTCAGACCAGGGAGTCAGTAGACGAATTGTTCTGGCAGCAGGAGTTATGAAGTCTCTCGACAAGGACCAAGCTACTTGTCTTCAAGGTCCTGATATTGCCAGTTTTACTATATGGAAGTGAAACATGGACGCTAACTTGTGCTTTGGAATCTCGGATCATGGGGTACAGTTGGCAGGACCATGTGTCCAACCAACGGTTGCACCGTGAGACCGGTACAGGACCTGTTACTTGGGTGGAGGAGGCCTATTTTATATCATTATTATCATTATTTTCATTATAATCAACATCATTGTTCACTATTATCTGTAATCATTATTACTCTTATTATCATTATCATCATTATTATCGTTATTTTTTATTATCACTGTTGCTGTTATTGTTATTATTGTTGTTCTTATTACTGTTATCAGTAATATTATCATGACAATTATCATTATCATTACAATTACTACTATTATTATCCTATATCATTATCATTAATATCATCATCACTGATATTATAATGAACATAATCATCATCATTATTGTCATAATATATATATATATATATATACATATATATATATATATATATATATATATATATATATATATATATATATATATATATATATATGTGTGTGTGTGTGTGTGTGTGTGTGTGTGTGTGTGTGTGCGTGTGTGTGTGTGTGTGTGTGCATTCATAAGCATATACTGTTACGTAGCTGTAGTTTCTTAACAATGAAACCATGTGTTTCAGAACGGGGTACAATCTAAGTTAATATAATTTTATACCAAGTGTAATTAGAATTCATAAATATCCCTTTGTTTCTTATAATCTTATGCCCACAGTCTAATCAGAAGTGCGTAGCGTTCTTACGTGTTAGTTGTGTTGTAATAACCACTTCTTATCTCTTATTCCTTGTGTTTACTTATGCTTATGTTTTAGTTCTGTTACAGCCATCAATATTAACAATTATTATTAATAGATATTTACTGTTTGCTCACTTGCCATGATGTTTTGCTTGTATATTTTTAATGTTATAATCACATCTAATATACGTTTTTATTTCTTATTTTCTTTTAGCTTTCCCTTTTTTATTAAGATTATAGATTTAGAGTAATACAAAGTAAGGTAGGGAGTGCAAAGCTACTTTATAAATAATCTATATTCAACGGTTAATAAAATAAATACACGGAGATTACCTAATCCGTAAACATACATTGACGCAACAGACCGGAAATACAGGGTGACAAATAAGACCATCGTCCCTTGCCTCTACAAGCCCGTCCGAGGCCTTTTTCTCGCCCTCCGCCCTACCCGCTGCAACCCCATTCGGAAACGACCGCACCGGAAGGTGTGTCCCCCTCACACGGTATGGAAAATTTTATTTAATAATTTAATTGGACTGACACAATACAGTTTCATTGTCAACCCCAAGGCATTCTTTTATTAAAGTCGGTGATGCTAGTCTCTAAATGACAGTGTAACAAATCGGCACTGAGCTATGGTACTTAACCCTCCTTGTCCTCTCATGGTGGTACAGCATACAACAAATGCCATGCATGTGTATATGGGTGCTTGGTTCCAAGCCACAGTACTGGCTAAGTGTCTCGGCTGGTGTATCTTATCAAAATATGTCATGAGGCCATCTCAACACCCGGTATTGAGATGGGATCAAAAGGTCTGGGACTGAATCCTGTTGCTGCTGTAGTGACGTGCTAGTGGATGAACCTGTGTGTAGTAACTAGTTAACTGCACTTGGCCCCCCTGGGCCAAAAAGTGGGGGGGGGCGCGCGCCCCCCTCGCCCCCCCGGCTCCAAAGCCTATGATATATAATATCTATCTATATATATACATACATATATATATATATATATATATATATATATATATATATATATATATATATCATATCAGGTAGGACACAATAGATAATCTATTACGAATCAAACAAGATTATTTATTCAAATTTTATTCTGAAGGATCAACAATCTTTACTATTACAGATATCTGACGATCGCTCACGCTGAACCATGGTTATCTTCAGGGCAGTCTTAATAACCTACAATTAGAAAAGACCAAATGTAATAAGTCCATCGTTAGCCATAACATAACAAACCCATACATGTTCACCAGAGAGTATTTATTTACTATCAAAAACTGAAAGCTCATAAGTTTGGATAGCAGAACATTCCAAAACCAGATCCAACACATATTGATACTTTTCTACTTCTTATCTTTCCTCCTCAACCAAAAGAAAACACACACACACACACACACACACACACACACACACACACACACAAACACGCACACACACACACACACAAACACACACACACACACACATATATATATACCTACCATAATGTCAATAATAAGATCAATCCCACGGTTCAGTACAAACAGTACCACAGCAAGCGCCAGTCGGGCAACACTTCTTACGGCCAATGCAGTCGAAATCAGAGCGGCAAGTAACGTAATTGCGATCAGGTACGAAGTCAGCACGGCCGCCAAGGGAAAGTGGGCTGTTGACGGGATGATCATAATGTTAATGACATTGATTTTTATGATGATAATGTTGGAAGGTTAATAATACTGGTGTTTGTGATAATGCTACACTGTTAATGATGTTTATGATGATACTGTTGGTGATAATAACGTTAGAATGTTAATAATGTCTATGATGATACTATGTTGGTGATAATAACGTTAAAATGTTAATAATGTTGATGTTTATGATAATAAAGTTAAAATGTTAATAATGTTGGTATTTATAATATGTTGGGTTTTATGACAGTAATGTTGGTGTTTTCGATAATAATGTTAGAATGTTAATAATAATGCTTTATGATAATGTCTACAGTAATGTTGGTGTTTTCGATAATAATGTTAGAATGTTAATAATAATGCTTTATGATAATGTCGGAGCGTTAATAAAGTTGTTTTTATCATAATGTTAGAATGTTAATACTGATGGTTAATAACGTTGGTGTGTATGATAATGTTAGAATGTTAATGGTGTTTGTGGTAATAAAGTTTTAATTTAATGATGTTTACGATTATAATGTTAATCAATAACTTTGGTGTTAATGATAATCATGCTGGTGTTTATAATCAAAATGTTAGACTGTTAATAATGTTGGTGTTTATGATATTGTTAGAATATTTTTAATGTTGGTATTTATGATGATGCTTGAATGTTAATAATGTCTATTACGTTATAGTTAGAATGCTAATGATGTTAGTGTTTTTGATTGTAGTGTTAGATTGTTAACAACATTGGTGTTTATGATAATAAAGTTAAAATGTTGATAATGTTTGTGTTTATGATATTAATATTAGAATGTTAATGTTGGGGTTTACGATATAATCTTAGAATGTTTATAATGTTGGTATTTATGATGACACTGGTGGATCTAGGAGGCTAAAGGATCTGGACACATGCCCCTCCCCCTAAAAAAGATGATAATAATAATGATTATTATAATAGAAATAATAAAGTTCTAGTTGTAATAGTAATAATAGTAGTACTAGTAATAATGTCAATATTAATACCATTATGGTTATTATAATGATCATTATCATTATCATCACCATTTTCATTACCATCATCATTATCACAAGCATTAACACTAAAATTACCTTCATTATCACCACCATATCACCATGGGCAGCAACTAACATGAATAGCCACAAGAATAAGGAAAAGTAAGAATAGTTGAATAAGATTAAGAAATGGAATAAAACAAAAGAAAAAAAATCAGCCAACCCGTCCTGGGGGGGTGGAGGAGCCGGGAAGAGCGGACACGATCCAGGCTTCTCTCTGTATGAAGACCCCGCCTGCACGGTGCTTGTCTGGGGAGAACACGAACATCGGTAAATATAGGGAAGGTTAGCGGAAAAGAATCTGTGTACTGTGTTCTGTCTCTCCATGGTTGTCAGATTTATGATATTCTTGATTTGATTAAGAAGCATACACACGCGTATGTAAACATATACATATATCACCACCATCGGCGTAGGGGCATTTAAAATTTAGGGGGGGGCTGCAAATTTTCTGCCCGAGTGAAAGAGGAAGAGAAATTTCATCTGCCAGAAAATTTGTGATGAATGCCACCAGTGGCGTAGATAGAGGGGGTCGGGGGAGGGGGGCGAAAACCCCCGCTATAAGGCAAAACTGACATTTTGTCGAAAAATTTCTGCACTTGTCGGAAAAATAACGATGGTTTTCTGTTTCGTTTAGTTCTAGTGGCCTTATGTTATGTTCAAAATAATAAAAAATGAGAATTAGTGTCAATTTTTTGTCAGGATATCTTCATTTCTCGCCCCCTTTATGAATTATCCTATCTACGCCCCCTGAGTATCTATGTTACATTAATAGAACTTTTTACCAATATCTTTTTCGCAAAATGGATAATTTCCAATTTCTATGCCCATTGCCCAAAATTGCCCGAATTCAACCAGCATTTACCCGACTGGGGAGGCTGCAGCCCCCTTGGCTCCTACGCGTATGATCACCACAACATGAATATATACATTTATCACCACAGCATAAATATACACATATCACCACAGAACAAATATACACATCACCACAGAACAAATATGCACACATATATCACACACCAATAAATGAAAAAATAGAGATAAAACACGAAAAAAAATGTAAAACACCAACCAGCGTAAGCATCACGGCGACACACACCACGCAGGCACCCATTCCTCGAAAAGTCATCATGGAAATCCCAATCAGCTGGACCGGATGAGCAGGCGACGAGAAGCGGCTCTGAACTGAAGCTATAGGGGCCACGTGCTGCCTTTTTATCCACTGAGGATCCGGTGGTATGACGCAATGGTCGTTGTTGTGGAAGCGTATTTTAGGAAAAGAAATGGAGTTGTTTTTTTTGTGGGTGGACCGAGGCGTATGAATAGATTGAATGACTGAGAGGCAAGATGGGCGGATGTTAAATTGAAATGTTGATTGGTTCATAGTTGCAGTATAGATTATTTGATTTCAGAATACAAGGTAAGTGATTATTCATACGTACGAAATGTTATAGGGAGGCAAAAATGGTTATGTAGAGAGTCCAATTGGTACAGACAAAGCAGAAACTTTTTTTTCTGACGAGACGAAGATGCACTTGGTAGGCTGGTGACTACTGACAAAATGCAATGTCTGTGAATAAAGTCGTTGAATTTGAAATAATAATTCTAACCAACTACTCACCAAATTTCGCCTCGGTAAAAGAGAGTGGAGCACGGATAATAACTCGAAGAAAAATTGAAATATCTAGTCTTTCGGAAAGTCACTAAGCTATATATATATATATATATATATATATATATATATATATATATATATATATATATATATATATATATATATATATATATATATATATATATATATATATATATATATATATATATATATATATATATATATATATATATATATATATATATATATATATATATATATATATATATATATATATATATATATATATATATATATATATATATATATATATATATATATATATATATATATATATATATATATATATATATATATATATATATATATATATATATATATATATATATATATATATATATATATATATATATATATATATATATATATATATATATATATATATATATATATATATATATATATATATATATATATATATATATATATATATATATATATATATATATATATATATATATATATATATATATATATATATATATATATATATATATATATATATATATATATATATATATATATATATATATATATATATATATATATATATATATATATATATATATATATATATATATATATATATATATATATATATATATATATATATATATATATATATATATATATATATATATATATATATATATATATATATATATATATATATATATATATATATATATATATATATATATATATATATATATATATATATATATATATATATATATATATATATATATATATATATATATATATATATATATATATATATATATATATATATATATATATATATATATATATATATATATATATATATATATATATATATATATATATATATATATATATATATATATATATATATATATATATATATATATATATATATATATATATATATATATATATATATATATATATATATATATATATATATATATATATATATATATATATATATATATATATATATATATATATATATATATATATATATATATATATATATATATATATATATATATATATATATATATATATATATATATATATATATATATATATATATATATATATATATATATATATATATATATATATATATATATATATATATATATATATATATATATATATATATATATATATATATATATATATATATATATATATATATATATATATATATATATATATATATATATATATATATATATATATATATATATATATATATATATATATATATATATATATATATATATATATATATATATATATATATATATATATATATATATATATATATATATATATATATATATATATATATATATATATATATATATATATATATATATATATATATATATATATATATATATATATATATATATATATATATATATATATATATATATATATATATATATATATATATATATATATATATATATATATATATATATATATATATATATATATATATATATATATATATATATATATATATATATATATATATATATATATATATATATATATATATATATATATATATATATATATATATATATATATATATATATATATATATATATATATATATATATATATATATATATATATATATATATATATATATATATATATATATATATATATATATATATATATATATATATATATATATATATATATATATATATATATATATATATATATATATATATATATATATATATATATATATATATATATATATATATATATATATATATATATATATATATATATATATATATATATATATATATATATATATATATATATATATATATATATATATATATATATATATATATATATATATATATATATATATATATATATATATATATATATATATATATATATATATATATATATATATATATATATATATATATATATATATATATATATATATATATATATATATATATATATATATATATATATATATATATATATATATATATATATATATATATATATATATATATATATATATATATATATATATATATATATATATATATATATATATATATATATATATATATATATATATATATATATATATATATATATATATATATATATATATATATATATATATATATATATATATATATATATATATATATATATATATATATATATATATATATATATATATATATATATATATATATATATATATATATATATATATATATATATATATATATATATATATATATATATATATATATATATATATATATATATATATATATATATATATATATATATATATATATATATATATATATATATATATATATATATATATATATATATATATATATATATATATATATATATATATATATATATATATATATATATATATATATATATATATATATATATATATATATATATATATATATATATATAGATCACAATCATAGCACTTTATTATTCAGTTAATACATTTGTAGCCATCACCAATAACAACATGAACAAATACTATCAGCACATATTTTACCCCACATGTTCCGTTACTTTGAAGAAAAGTAGATAAGATGTTTGATTGTGGGTGTGCCTGAATATTAAACCTAATCTATGCATCGGCTGAACTGTTATAAATCCAGAAGCAGTTGCCATTCAGCCAATATAAGGCTCTGCACATATTCTATCGTTGGCTGAAGGTGATCCAACGAGACAACACTTTTCAACCCTTGGGCAGTCATAGTCACTGCGACAAGGGTTCCTGTGCGGGAGTAAAACGGGACTAAGAACAGGTTTCCACCATAAACTAATCTAATATATAGGTACTCTAGGCATTGTTATGATGTGCAGACGTGAGAATAACTTTAATTTGCCTTTCAAAACAATGAATGTCACATATTTGTTTTTTTTTCAATGTTTACATGCTGTGTGATAAAAGGGGAATAAACAGTATACTTACTCATGGCCAGGTATTTGGGGGGCATTGAGCCTGGGGCACAGGCCAGGCTTTTCTTCAAAGAAGGGTGTTCCACAAACAAAACTTGCCTAAGAGAAAAATATAAAACAGTATGTACATATGTATACATATTCGGGTTTATTTCTATACATTATATACACATGCATGTGTGTGTAGGGGTACACATTCGTATTTGCACATGGAGTGTACTACATGTATGTACAGGAGTGCTTACATTTACACACAAAAATGTGTGCGTCCAGATGCGTATATATATGTATGCATGTATGTATATCTATATGAATGTTTGTGTATAGATATATACATATATAGTAGAAAATCCACCTGGATTGGATCTTCAACTTCATCTAGGTGAATTTTGATAAATGTTCAATAAATCTAGTTTTTGCATTGTGGGGTTTTCTATCATAGCATTAACACAGAAGAGTGTTTTACCATTCATGTACAAATACGTGTATGTATATATATACATATCTATATATATACATGTTTACATACAAATACATGTGTATATGTATATATAGCATAGCCATTGCATATCTCACCATCAGCAGAGCAGCCAGAACAAAACACAAGCGCAATGCGAACGAGGCCATTTCGCAGACGAGAAGCAGGAGTCCCTTTTCCACCGCTGACTCGACTATCTGTGTCGGCAGCAACAGTGAGCTGGACTTAAATAATGAGTGTCGACGGTCACTTCGAAGCAACGCAAGTATTATCATTAATATATTGTGCCAGGAGGCTTCCACGTACAGGGGATTTCCCCAATGGAAACTACATTTCCCTGTATATTTCTTTATCTTTTATTTATTGATTTTTCTTTATCTTTTATTTATTGATTTTTCTTTATCTTTTATTTATTGATTTTTCTTTATCTTTTATTTATTGATTTTTCTTCCTATTTTGGTTATCAACTTTACTATGGATAATAACATGGTTAGTTTTCCCTTTAGCGTAATTATTTGCACTGAAATTGAAGCGTTGGTGTAGTTTTTGTTGTAGTTTTTCCCCATATTTCATCATTCATGAAAATACATAAAATTTAACAAATAATTCATAGTTATTTTAAAAGATAGATGTTATGTCTGTAGATGAAGAACGTTAAGGCGAGCTAACACCTGCAATGGTTGCTGTGTTGTGAAAGAAATCACGTGTATTGGCAGTGTTTTATCAATGTACGTAGATATGTGTATATATATACTGTATTTTCTTTTTCTTTTTTCACAATGGCTGTGTTTCATCTATCTTTTTTCACGTTACCTCGTTTCTATTTTGTTCTTAATGATGAATTTTAACTTAATCCTGTAGCTTAATGGTGTACCTCCTAAACCAGTAGTTCATTTACGTATCGTCTCTATTCGTAAAAACGTGTCGGGAGGGAACTGTGACTTTAAGGCACATGCTTGTTACTTTTTCAATATTTACAAAGCATAAGACTACAGTATGTTAGCAGAATGTGGTAAAACATTTATAAGTAATTTAAAAGGGAAATATCATGTGTGCAGTAATGATTTTATCCTTGTATTTTTAACAATATCTAGGTATATCAATTTTGAGGTTTAATTTAGTTTGCATTTTTTTTTTTTTTTTTTTTTTTTTTGCGTTTTAGTCATAAGTTGATTATGAGGTGAATTAATTACAGCAAATTCGAGGCTGCTTCCGTGTATTTAAGAATACAAATATGTGATTTTTTTGGGATTTCCTAATAATTACTCTAAGTTTTTTTACACAATCATATTGTAATCGGAAAGGGTCTCCATTGTTTGTGTAATTCATGGAACTTTTTTTTTTCAAAACCAGAAACATTGAAAAGACTAAAACTTACAGACCTAAAGTACATCATACTTTGTGAACGAAAGGCATTGGCCAAGAAGAGCAAGAAAGACAAACATAGCTAGCATGGACTACGCTCGGGTACCCGAGCAAAGACTGTACATAATATCTCGTGACGTAAACCCGTTTCCGCGAAGTTGAAGCCCAAAGGCGTTCACCTGGAGAAGGACTGTTGTTCACTTTCTCCGAGTTGACGGACTTGTATGTTTACGTATCACTTTAAAACGATATTTAAGACAGTTTGTTTGTTATATTGTGTGATATTTGAGCGTATAGGTCTACCTTTTATATGAACGACCATGTGCGTTTGTTCTCGTTTCCATGGCTACACAAACTCATCTGAGTCTCTCTCTCTCTCTCTCTCTCTCTCTCTCTCTCTCTCTCTCTCTCTCTCTCTCTCTCTCTCTTGCTTCTCTCTCTCTCTCTCTCTCTCTCTCTCTCTCTCTCTCTCTCTCTCTCTCTCTCTCTCTCTCTCTCTCTCTCTCTCTCTCTCTCTCTCTCTCTCTCTCTCTCTCTCTCTCTCTCTCTCTCTCTCTCTCTCTCTCTCTCTCTCTCTTGCTTTCTCTCTCTCTCTCTCTCTCTTCTCTCGTCTATATTATCATTCCATTCACTTGATAGGTAATCCCCCAAATATATGTAAAATCTAAATTGTTTGACAATAACATGGACAACTTCGATAATACTTACCCGCTTACGTCACAGTTCCGAGAATAAGCAGTCCGCAAAACATTTTTTTTGTGTGAACCAACTATCATCCTTTCAAAGTTCAAACACTTGCCAACAAAGTGAAGATAAGTTTTCCTACTTTCCCAAATCCCGTTCCAACACACACACACAACACGTGATAGAGGATGATAAGTCAGATGGACTCCACTCACTTTATATTGTGTTCACAGGGCTTGTTCATGCCAGTAGAAAACTTGCAGTAAGCGAAGGGAAACCATGGCATCGCTAAGGCTTACACTGTGTGCTGTTTTCGTTGTGGTTCTAATGGTATGTACAGGCTGTGACGAGAGACAAATTACCTTTTAGAGGCAAATTCAAGGATTTAAATGTTCGATTGCAATTTGCATAGCTGTGCAACTGCATGGTTTGTACATAAATACGAAAAACAAAAAGCATACCAGTTTAATGAATGGCAAACTTTTATGATTTCTATTTTTCGTTCCTCAGATAATTTACTTTATGAATTATAAAAGTTGTCAGTTTCCTTCCTAAAGTGAAATTCGTAAAGTTTGGATATATAATGTTTTTTTTTTCTCTCAGGCAGGAGTTGAAGTGAAGTCAGAACCCTTTATGTGTAGAGTCAACTACCCGAAGGCAGGAAAATGTCCCGCCTATTTGAGGTAAACAATTATTTTCTTTTACTTACCTTTATAAAACTGTGGCCAAGTAGGTTGGTCAGAACTCACTAATTATGTAAATAGGATGATCTTAGTTTACGTGTATATTCGTTTTGTATAGTCTTGTGATTTCATATGACGTCATACGTTCATAATATTTGGCAGTAAGATTTTACTTCTCCTAAAGGACATTAGCCACAAATAAAAACACGACATCTTATTATACAAAATCCTACACCTACGCTACCAATATAGACTAATCTGACTCCATATTTTTCTCTCATTCTACCAGCCAACAAAATTATCCTGACGATACTCCCCCGCCACGACCCCTCTGCGAATGCGCCACTGACTACGACTGCCAAAGAGGTCACCTATGTTGCTTGGGTCATGGCGGGTTCACCACCAGTTGCTACGAACCCGAAGCTTAGGAGCCACAGGAGTTTCGGTTCGTGAGTCGTGGTTGGCTGGTTTGGGTTGTCGGGTGAGGAGAGATTTGTATCTGATGAAGTAAAGAGAGGATGTCACTTTTTGGTTTGATTTTATTTCCTTCTGTTTGGATATATAAGTATATGCATACATGCGTATTTACTCGTGCACACACATACACATATATATGTGTGTGTGTGTGTTTATATATTCATATATATAGACATACACATATACATGTGTACATATATACATACATATGCGTGTGCACATATATACATAAATATGTGAACATATACCCATATATATGTGTGTGTGTACATATACCCATATATATGTGTGTGTGTACATATACCCATATATATGTGTGTGTGTACATATACCCATATATATGTGTGTGTGTACATATACCCATATATATGTGTGTGTACATATATACATGTGTGTACATATTTACATACACACATATATGCGTATATGAGTGACCATGAGCGTCAACCCATTGCATGACCTCTGCATGACCTCACACCGCTTTACTCCGAGTGCGACGGACTGACGGAACCTGTATGCGTGGACGAGCCGTGCTTATATTTCACAACGGAAATGCGTTAAATATCTTTCTAGATCATTCTGTATTAAGAGATCAAAGAAATAAACTATGAACATAGAGATTATCTTCGTTGTTGATAGAGTCATTGGAAGCACTTGGAAACTTTCCCTCTCAAACACACGGTGTCTCAATTAATCTCTTTGATTTTGTATATTAACAATAACATGTGGTTGTATAAAGTTTAAACATATAATATGGCTTTGATAACAATAAAATTTTATAATATCAAAGAAAAAATTTGGAAAGCGAATGGAACTAAATAAACATGCCCATATAAAGCTGATGAAATAACCAAAAATGTTTGTCGTTACTGCAATCGGACGATGCGTAATTGTCATATAACCGGGGTAAGACCTCTCTCCTCAGAGCGAAGATGAAACTGATGCAATTTTACGAAAATACCAGCCACGGCAGCTAAGAAAAGGATAACCAGTGATGACCGATTTATGTACTTTATGGTTCATCTTTTTAGTATCTGTATATAGTTAAAAAGAAATTTTCTGTCTTTATTTCCATGCAGAGGCGCATGGACCCGAATGAGTGGGATGGGTAGATGTGTGATGAAAAAGAGAGAGAGAGATAGATAGATAGATAGATAGATAGATAGATAGATAGATAGATAGATAGATAGATAGATAGATAGATAGATAGATAGAGAGGGAGGGAGGGAGAGGAAAAGAGAGAGAGAGAGAGAGAGGGAGGGAGGGAGGGAGAGGGACAGGGAGAGAGAGAGAGAGAGAGAGAGAGAGAGAAATGGAGGGAGGGAGAGAGAGAAAGAGGGAGAGGGAAAGAGAGGAGAGATAGAGATAGATAGATAGAGAGAGAGAGAGGGAGGGAGAGGGAGTCAGGGAGAGGGGGGGAGAGTGAGTGAGTGAGTGAAAGAGAGTGAGAACAGGGGCGTATTTTCTCTTGGAGAGGGGAAGGGGAGGGCTCTGATCGTAGCTTTAAAACGTTCCTAGAAGCTGGTTGTGCCTAGTTCGCTCGCTTGCCTTACCCCCTCCCCCCCTAGCAAAAGCTGAAAAGACGCCACTGAGAGAGAGAGAGAAAAAGAAACTGAGAGAGAGAGACAGAGAGAGAGGGAGAGGGAGAGAGATAAAACAAACAGAGGAAGAGAGCAAGGGCGTCATGGGGGGGGGGGGGGGCTCTGAACATAGACAGAAAAATAACGAGACAGAGAGAGAAAGGGATAATATTTTTCTGGGGGGGCGGAGGCTCTGATCATAGCCTAAAAATGTTCCTAGAATGGTAATTTTTCAAAAACAATTTTCGGAGAGCTGGGAGCTGAAATGACGCCCCTGAGAAAGAGAGGGGGGGAGGGAGGAAAAGAGAGAGCGAGAGAGGACAAGAGAGAATTAGAGAGAGAAGACAAGAGAGAGTGAGAGAGAAAATGAGAGACAGAGACAGAGAGAGAGGGAGAGACTCTGGACAAGTCGAGCGGCCATTGTTGATACTTGAGTGTACTCTGTGGAATGAGGTGTACGATAGTTTTTCCCCAACTCGCCATATGCCTGGCAGTGCATTCACCAGCCAATCAGCATGCATTCACCAGCCAGTCAACATCTATGAGGATTAATGACGTCATCAGTCTAAGTTCAACGCGTTGGAGTTTCCATCCACCAAAGACAGCTTTAGATTGGGTTCTGTGTTGCACCCTGTTATGAAACAGCCGGTGTCATTGCTAAGGAACATCATCTACGTACCAATATATACTTATAAATACATCTATATTTATACATGTGTGTCAGTAGGTACTGTATATATGCATACATATATAAACATATTCATACACACATATACATACATACACGTGTGTATGTTTATGTTTACACAAACACACATATGTATTTACACACACGCATATATATATATATATATATATATATATATATATATATATATATATATATATATATGTACATATATATAGACACACGCACACACATACATATATCCATGTATATGTGCATATATTTATGTATGACAATTAACATGTCTGAATACACTCTTAAATCCCTTTCCATCAGTATTTTTTGTGCGTCTGGACACACAGAGGCAAACACACACACACAGGGCCGGCTTATGGCATTAGCACACAGGCGGTTATCTAAGGAAAAAAAAAACAATAGAATGATAGAAAAAGTAAATAGATATATAAATATAAACACGCCAATGTGTACCTTTCATATATTCTGCAATGAGATGA